GCGAGGCTCACAGTCAGACACCCCGAGAGAGAGAGCGAGGCTCACAGTCAGACACCCCGAGACAGCGAGGCTCACAGTCAGACACCCCGAGAGAGAGAGAGTGAGGCTCACAGTCAGACACCCCGAGACAGCGGGGCTCACAGTCAGACACTCTGAGAGAGAGAGAGATCGGGGCTCACAGTCAGACACCCCGAGACAGAGGGCCACATCAGGAGCCTGATTAGGCACTTACTGGAGATACTGGCAGGCGCTGAGCTCAGAGTCTGAACCGCTGGTCTGTACTGGGCCGCAGAGCAGGAGTCTCTGCAATACAGAAAGTGAGAGCTCTCAACAACGTGCAGACTCTGCATCGCCCTCTCTCTCCGCTGGGACACAGCCAGTACGGGCCGGTACTAGTCTCATCGACGACGACTCCCCCTCACTGACAACCAGCACTCCATATGGGGGCGCTCGCGGGGGAACCTGGTTATTTGGGGGCTGGATTGGGGGTTCCTGAGCTAGGTAGCTAAAATCCAGTGGGGGCTCCCCCCCGTGCACCCCAGCCTACCTGCCGGACACCTGGCCCCCCCGGAGCCCGCAGGCCCAGTGCCTGCCACAGCACGGCCAGCTGCTGCTGTCGGAACTCCCCCGGACTCCCAGCGATGTGGAGCACTGTGCAGGCCGCCGCCTGCAGGGGGAGACAGAGAGGGGAGCACTGAGAGGCCGGTGGCTCTGCTCTTGACCTCATCCCATCAAACAACTGGCCCGCGAGGCCGCGAAAGAGAGGAGGCCCTGGCCTCGTCAGGCCGCCAGAATCGTCGAGCTGCACTGACCTGACAGCGGGACAGCGCCCCCTCCAGCTGGGCCAGGTGCGCAACACTGTCCTGCAGCACTGCGACAGACAGACAGACAGACAGACAGGGGCGGATAAGAGTCTCACACAACACAAGCCAGCACTCCTGTCGTCCCGTACGTACACAAGGAAACAAAACTCCTTTGGGTTCATCCTCAGCTTCACTGCGACACTGCAGACAGTAGAAAAGTGAATACAGTGTGACAGGGAGAATAAGACCGTCAGCACATCCAGCGACAGAGGGGTACAGTGAGAGTGAGACAGGATAAGAGTG